TCTCTCTCTCTCTCTCTCTCTCTCTCTCTCTCTCTCTCTCTCTCTCTCTATCTTCCTGATCGCCTGCTCGCTCACTCGCTCGCTCCCTCATCTTGATCCCAATTTAAATAGATATGCCAATGTATCTGCCTCTCTCATTCTCTCTTGGCATCGGCAAATGGGTGCAATAGTTCAACTATATAATCAGATCAATTTGTTTCGATTTTTATTGAGTCGTAACTGCGGTTGAATAAACTTATTTATATCGAATATTCGATTGCCTTCAATTTCATGCTATATTTCAGTTGTCAGACTCTTTTTCTCTTCTCTCCCTATCTCTCGTCGTTTTTCCAAACGGGCGTATAATGAAAAAAGTCACCGCGCCGATTTGATTTCTACTATTCATTGCTGTTTTTGCTCCGTTTGATTATTTTTCGATAGATACCTTCTTTTTGGGATTTGTGTGTGTGTGCACGCCGGAGACGGAGATAGAAAATAAGAATATGGTTCATGTTATCAAAATGTCATATAACCAATTGAAGTGATTTTGATTGGAATGCTATAAAAGTTTTTGGTTTCGATTTTCATGACGAAAGAGAAGAAAAAAAACCAACTCTCGTTAGCTCGTTACACGCTGAGTGTATTTTTTATCGTGGTTTGAATACATTCGAACTATCATTGCACTTGATGATTGACTCATAGCTGACGATAAAGCTGCAATTATATTCAAATTGTATAGTCAACAATTTGTGGTTGAAGATCAAATGGTAGAGGATTGAGTCAAAGAATATTTAAAAAAAAAAAGACCAAAAATAAAAACCACCGAGAACCACTCTTATAGAATGTTATAGAAAGAGGTAAAACGTGCACGTAGAAAGGTGATTTCATCGTCTTGAAATCTACAATTTTGTTTCTCTTTATTCGATTGGGATACGTGTGTGTGTGTGTGTGTGTTTTTTTTTTTCATTCCCTATTCGATACTTTCAAATAATAAACTATGCGATGATTTCGTACGAAATGAAAGATGATGAAGAAGAAATGGTTTCTTCGGTTATTTTCCATGTCGAAACGTTCGTTTGTTTTTCAGTGCGTGTGAAATAGTGTATTTAAGAGAGAAGAAAGTAGTCGAGAGAATTTTTTTTGTGTTTTTTGTGTGTTAAAATGATTCGAATGAATTTCGATTGAAGTGCTTGAACCTTTCTCTCTTTGCACATCTCTCTCTCTCTCTCTCTCTCCGTCTCAATGTTCGCTTTGTGTGTTAATGTTGTTGCCCTTTGGCCCCAGCCCATTATATCTCTTCTCTTCACATTTCTTATTGTGTGTGAGTATTGAAAAAAAATAGCTCATGATGTTGTGTTGATGATGATGATGATGATGATGATGATTAATTTAATATTACATAATGGATCCAACTGATTTTTTGAATTAGATTTAGACGCACAAATACTGAGACTCTCTTCGCATCGCCAGAGACAAGATAGACAGCAAAGCAAAGCGAGCGAATGAGCGAATTAGATCAGTACTTACCCACATTTTTCGACTTGAATGCATTTGGAATACAGTACATTCTCCATTTCCAGTGTTCGCTTCTTTTTCTCTTAGCTTTGATTGAAACGTTTGTTCTGTTGTTGTTTCTTTCCTTCTCTTCATTCTCTCTCTCTCTCTCTCTCTCTCTCTCTCTCTCTCTCTCGATTCAGTCTCGTACCCAGTTGTGATGTGCATATATGCCATCTCTTTGATCGACGTTGAACTTTACGCAATGATTTGCGTGTACGCGAGAGAGAAGCTGAGAAGCGAATAGGAAAAAAAAGCCAGCAGCAACAACAACAACAGGCGATACAGAATGAGTTGCCGAGTTTGATAGAAAAAGATGGCCAGAATTCGATAGCACGTACGAGAAACAAGGAAGGGAGCAAAAAAAAAAAGAATGAATAAATGAAAAAAAGCAGTGGCTTTTATTCAATGTTCTATGTTCATGCATCACAGCGTTCGCTCGCACATTTTCTATTCAATCACCTCAATTTTCTCTGTGTTTACGACTATGTTCGTTCGTGGCACACAATAACAATGCACAATAATAATGTGTTTTTTTCGTCGTCGTCGTCGTCGTCGTCGTTGTTGCTGCCTTCTCTCGCGTTCGTATTTTTCGTTGTTCTATTTTGTATAGATTTTGTTTTGTGTCCGGGTTCTCTCCTCATTCTCTCTCTCTCCCCCTGGCTTATTCAATATTCCCTTCGCACATCACACACACACACACACTCACATTCTGACTAGTTTTTCCGTTTCGCGTCTCTATTCCATCAATTTTTCTATCAATCGGCATCACACATTCCACATACATATATTTATTTAGTGTGTGCTTTTTTCTGTTGTTCGTTGCCTGTGCGGTGTTACGGTTATTTTCAGTTGTTACATCTGTTTCTCGGCCCGTTGTTGTCATTAGGCGATTGCATCGTTGTCGACGTCGCCGTCGTCTCGATGTTGATATAGAATAATTATGTTTGTTGAAAAGGGATAGAAAAATCCAACTAGAAGAGTGTGACGCGCACCATTGAAATGAGATTCAAAACGAAAAATGATTGTTTTGTACTTTCTTATTGCAGCCCGGCACTTTTCTACCAATAAACACGAAGTTGTTGTTTCTCTTCTGATTCCATGTGTTTGGGACATGAGTGCGAGTGAGACAGTCGCAGCAAGATAGTAAATGATGCAGTCGGAATGAGAGGAAAAGCAAATGAGGTAAAAATAGAAGAGTTACAGGCATAGAATGAGCCAGTGTCAGAGTCAGAGCAGGAGGGAACAATAGCAAATTTAGCGATAAAAAGAGTCAGCAACATGGAATGAGCGAGAAGTAACATGGTAATAGCGTCGTGATTGTTCTCGAAAAGGAACGAAAGAGAGATAGAGAGAGAGAGAGTGAAAGCGAGAAAAATAAAGCTGTCCGACCGAAAAAATGTACAATTGGAACAGAATTACACGCGGCAGACTGTGTACCAAGTGGAAATAGTACGTCCAGATCGAGTAATGATCGAGTGAATGCTAGAAGAATGGAAAAGCGAAGCAGAAAGAGCAAGCGGAGAGGAAGAGAGAGAGAAATAAAGATTGACCTACACGGTAGCTTGGCACAAGTAACAGGCACCAATGGATAATTTTACCAACACCGTTCAAGTTGAATTGAGCATACAGAATAAAAACAAAAACGAACGATGAAAAAAGCAGCAACAACAACAACAACATTCATCCGCGCGTCATGTAATAATAAGAACTGTGGATAGTATGAATTTGTGTTCAGAATCAAATGGTCGTGTGTATCGAATAGTTGCCTCATTTTTTTCCCCGAAGTTTTTAATAACAATAATAACAACGACGGCAGCAGCAGCAACAATAACAACAGAAAGAGAGCAGTTGCTTGAACGGGCGCGCGCATTTTTCTCTTATTCGCTAGTACACATTACGTACGCTTGGGTTTATACTGTTGCATACAGAGAGAGAGAGAGAGAGAGAGAGAGAGAGAGAGAGCAAGGGATACAGAGAGAGAATTAGAGAGAGCGACAGAAACGCAATAGCATAGTGTGGTTCAGAGAGTTGAGCCGAGAGAGTGTTCTTTGCTGGCGTTGTATGTTTACGTTTGTTGCTCAGTACGGTTCGAAAAAAGAGTGTAGAGTGCGCGCAAAAATATTGTATTATTGATAGAATATTATAGGCGCAGACACAGACAGTTAGAAGAAACCTACAAAACAAAACACACGCATATTCGCGCGAGAGCATCATCACAATCAATCTAAAGCCAGAATTTTCTCTTGCCGCCCGATCGAGAAAGTAGAACACGGTGTTACGGTTTTATTCTAGTTTTGCATTGTGTGTCGTTTATGTGCGAAGAGAATTGTCTCTTGTTAGTGCAATTGGTGTCTCTCTGTGTTGTTTATTTTGTGCATGACACAGTGGCATTACGCTTATGGACACACGCGTCCACAAACTGGACTGAAGCAAACCAAAAAAAAGACCACGAGTGAAGTGATTTTGGTGAAGAAAAAAGAAAAGTAACGAATTCGGTTGTGGTTTCTCCGGGGTGAAAGAAAGAGAAAGCGCACACACACACACGTCCAGAAAAAATGCCGTTGCCGTCAATCAAATCCATCGAATATCGTCATCTATCGACGCTGCCAGCCATTTTGCGGATTGTGGCGTTGGTAAGTTGTATATTTTGCATTCTGTGTGTTACACCTTTTCCAGTGCATGCAGCTGGATGGTTGTTGGCTATTATTGTGAGTAGTCAGTAATCGCATTTCCAAATGACAATCCTCACAATGCATTCGGTATAACGGTTAAAAATCTAACCTGAAAGCTGTATGCGCACTCATGCTAATGGAAGTTGACGCGCTCTCATGTGTATTTGCGCTTCATGCACGCACACACGCTCACACATACAGACAGGGCACGTATGCACGCCAACCAGCGAGCCGATATTCCGAGAGAGTGACGCGCGCTTGCATGTATGTGTGTTTCGTGTTTACAGCGTGTTTTCCACATTTGAATCATACATACATTTTGGTTTTTCGGCCGTTTTTATTGTTTATTTTAATTCGAATGTTAGTATTTTGCATTTACATCGAATACACCAATTCTGTTTCTTATTTGTATTTTCTTTCTTCTCTGTGTGTTTCTTTTATTTCTCGCAGATATTCAACATTTTGGCAATAATTTTTGCGTCCGTAGCGGAAAATCCCTATTACGACGTTAAGAATGTGATTAAATTCAATTCGATAGCAATAGCCGGAGCGAGTTTTTCCTTTATAACATTGGCATTGGTGGTGTGTTGTGCCGAACTGCGTGACTCATTAAAATGGTTGCGTAACGAATTGCTGATACAATGTGCATTAATAATCGTATTTGTTTATGGTTGTGTGACAATGGTACGCGAGATACTTGAATGCTATCACACACTCGACAATGGCTGTCCAAGGCAATTAACAGCAACGGTTCGTACTAATAATACAAAAACACATCTATATTTTTATGGATTTTTGGTGCTCGTTTCTGCTCTTCCTTCCTTTTTTTTCCCATGGTGGCGGCGGCGGCCTGTGTCCAAAAATTGTATAAATAATAATATTTGGTTTGCGATGCAATGTGCCGAAACAAGGAAAGAGCGAGAGCAATGAAAGTGTGTGTGTGTGCGTGTATGTGTGTTAAGGAAAGGGCGAGATACAGAAAAACGAATGAATGTATTCTTGTGTGACTCATGACATTGGGATATTATCCGTTTGGACATTAAGCATGTAATTAGATTATACTCCATATATATAAAAAAATATATCATATTTTATTTCGTAAAATTATTATTCTATGCGATTTCCGGTAGTTTGGGTGCGTTGTGTGACAAAAACATCGCACAAATTTTATTTGCCGCCGCATAACTCAATTACATGCGATACATACATATATACCATACAACTCGATTCGGTGGAATGCATCTCGTTTTTTTTCTCTCTCGCTCTCTCTCTCTCTTGGTTTTCACGCACGCTTCCATCGAATTTTTTTTTATATGGCCATATATCAAGACGTAATACGGTTACACCAAACATCAAACCGATACTTCGTTTTGTTCCAAAGCTGCTTGGGCTGGAATGTGTTGCATGTTTGTCACTTGCAAAATTTTTTGCTGCCGTTTCTACACGTTTGGATGCATTTCTAATTTGTGTGCACGCAGCAATCGGCTTGTGTGCATTTTGTTGTCACTCGGTTGTTCACGTTGTAAATTATGTGCATGTGAGTTGTGTGAATGTTGCCGATAGGAGCGTGCAAGGGAGAAAATGTATGGATGAGTGGGATTGACGTTGTATGTATATGTGTGTGTGTGTGTGTGTGAGAGAGAGAGAGAGAGAGAGAGAGAGCGAACTTGAAAGAGAGACTTTAAAAGAGCACGAGACTATGGGAAAGACTATGGGATTGTGAGAAAAAAAATAATTTTCTGAGTAGAACTGAGTGAGTGAGAGAGTGTTAGAGAGAGAAAGAGAACGGATATTTTCGATACTCCGGGCACACGGACGCACGCACTCGCACATACAACCATTATATCTATTGACTAGATCGAGAGGAGAGTAAGCGCGAAAAATGATAAGAAAAAAAAGTTCTATATAAAATTTGTTTTTTTATGTGCGTGATTTGCGCGCAACAAATTAAAGATAAGAGATAGATGTCTTCAGCAATGTTATAGAAGACCTCGAGTACTACAACTTTGCCGAAGACACCATGTTGTTATCTCTTATCAGTTCCGCGGAAACCGTGAAAAACCGCGGAGGCTAGACGGGATGCTAACATTCTTCCTTTTAACGCAGATAGAATCAACAGAAATCATACTCTCCTCTTTCAAAATATATTAGAATTTTTTCACATACTCTCCTCTCGATCTAGTCAATAGATATGTGGTGCATTTGAATACAAATGATGTTCTTTGCACTCATTTGCAGTTGAGCTCTATTGTTTTTCTCTCTTCTTCTTTGCATCTATTGTTTGGTTAATGTGTTTGCTCTTACCCTTTTCCGAAATGTGCCATTTTTTTTTATTGCAGATAAGTGGAATCGCAGCCACTATTACATATGTCGTTGATGCCGTGTTCAAATTACGTGAATGGCGTCGAAAGAGTCGTGCCGAGCGTTTGGCAGCCACCGAAGGTGTAACCAAAGTTGAAGCGCCCTACGTTGACAATCTACCACAATCAATAACCGTGGAAACGGTCGCTGAAACTGAGGATGAAGACGCACCGCCACCAGTACCAAAATCATCACCACCAGCCGAATAATAGAAAAATCTCACAATCTTTTTCACCTACCACCCACCACCACCAACACCACCTCACCACATTGCGCTCTTACCAATGGTCACAAGTTTTATTATTTTTATTTTCAAAGAACTTTTTTCTTTCAATTTTTTTTATATGTATCTTGTAAATTGCACTAAAGTACAAACAAAAAATATTTACTCTTCTTTTCGCGCCTCCCATAGCTCATAAGATAGAAGACTAAATGTGAATCATTTGGCAATATATATTATTATTTTCTCTCTCTCGTGTTTTATACGCAAATTTTCCACCGACAAAAAAAAAGCATTTAGAATAAATATACAAATCAAACAACAACAAAATAATGGTTTTATTTTCTATTCGGCTTTCTTTCCTTTTCACTCATTCATATTCGATGATGATCGATGCAAAAAGTTGCGTGAATGTCTTAAAACATAAACATGGGTACATGCATCATTTATCATTTTGTAGCGCGCATTAAACAAATGAGCCCGGTACCAAAAGAAGACTTTGTCGTATTTTATGGGGTTTCGATGGGTGTTTTTTCCCATGTATATGCGCTTACTCTGTTGTCCCATTTATCAATTTTCAATAGCATTCAATCGATCGCTTGCTCACCCGAATAATCCTTTAGCCCGAACATCGAAGGCTATTGTGTGTGTTGCGTGTGAATGTGTTTGTTGCATGAATGTGTGTATGAGTGTGGATCTCGAACACAAGTGCAAATGTGGATTTACACTAATCTCAATGTGTATAGACGATATACGTGCAACAACAGAATGATTGATTTGAATCGTAATGAGCCAGAAAAGCAAGCTTTGCTGATGCAAAAAAGACAGGCACAATGGCTTGATAGACATCTGTGTTTGTGTCCAGAGATACATTTACACAGAGAGAGCAAGAGTCATATGACGAGAGGCACAGAAAGAAATACATGTTGGGAAAGAGAAATATATGGCGGGAGTGAAAGAGAGAGAAACACATACACACAGATAAAACGATAAATAGAGTAAGAGATACAGGAAGAGCGAGAGTCAGAGAAAAGCGTATGAGAGAGAGGTAGACACAGATGAAAAGACACCGATAGAGACGCATGACAAGAGACACATCAAGAGCGAAGCGCATAATGAGAGCGGTAAATAGCGATAAACGCTATCAATATACATACACACAGGAAGCAACATAAATAGCCTAAGAGGTTGCATCACATAAACATGTTGCACACATAATTCGTTTGGTTAGCATGTGTACACATCAGCATATTATCAATGCCACGATCAAGTGCGTATCAAAAAGGGATAATTAGTGTGTGTGTGTGTTTTTTTTAATTTCCTCAGTTAAAATTTAGCCTTCGTCCATATAACAAAGAGCCGCGAATCAGCGTTGTGTGTGTGTGTGTGTGTGTCGATTAATCATTGTCGTTCAACGGTGTAGACGTAGTCGCTTTTGAAAAGAGCACACAGCGTCTGAAAACAATACCCACGATCAAACATGTGAAACATCGAATCATCTCGTCGAGAGATCGAACGAGATGTGCTTTGTGAATAAACTCGATTGAAAAGTGATTGCGTTGGCGTAAATTTATGCCAAGAATTTTTAATTCACAATTTGAATGAAAATTAGTGAACAACAATAGGCAGCAGCAGCAGCTCAGTAAAGATTAGCTAAAGCTGACAAACAAAACGATCCAACGGAACCACCTATTGAATTCTCATTCTCGTTCTTTCTCATTCGCTCATTCGCCATTCGCCTCAAATCAAATCCATTCCATAATAGGATCAGCTTAATGCAATACACAATTCGAATATTACGTAAACAATCTGCTGACTCTATGTTTAGTGAGAATGTTGTTAATGCGTGTTGTCCGTCTGTCACACAAATAGAATTTGAAAATCAAATCGAAACAAACAGCAAAGAAAAAAAATCCAACTCCTATTTATATATATGTGAGCTCTCGTTCTATCGATTTTGATCGTAATTAGAAGCCATAAATTTCTGTGATGTGGAAAACCTTTATTATCTAATCACATTGTACTGATAGCTGATTGCAAATTACTATTCAAATTTTCGAGGCGACCAAATAAACGAACGAACGAACGAACGAACGAACGGGTAAGTGAGTGACCGAACCAAAGCCAAGAACAGCAACGGAGCGAACGAAGTAGCATAGCGTGAACATGGAAAATCAAAGGGCCGAACAACCGAATTTATCTTAATTGAAAGTGAAACTAATTGTTCGCTGTTATTGAGCGGTTGGCTATTGTTAATTGATGAAGTCAAGTTCTATGGATTCACTTGCTTGCTTGCTCGCTCGCTCTCGTTTTTTGGCTGCATTCAAATTCAACAATTGGAAGCCTAAAAGCCTTTAGATTCATCGCTTTGAGCTAATAGCAGTACTATTGGCCCATACATATATTTGATATTCGAAAACACGCACACCGAATGTGTTGATTTGTTCACTGAATTTTTTAACATATGTACTGTACCATAAGCGGCCCCGGGTATGGCCAGGATGGATAGCGCGAATGAGCAAACGCTATAGCGCGATATTTTGTATGCATATTTATGAGTGTATTTTGTTTTTTTTTTTTGGTTCAGAGAGCGCGAGTGAATGTTTTCTATTTGGAAGTTAAGTTATTTGGCATTTCGTGCCTATTGGGCGTATACACACGCACTGTGAGCCACAACATAAACAAGTCAGCCGTTTGGAATATTGCGGAGTTGATGATTTAAGGTGGTGCGACAAAACGTGCATTCAATTGAATCGAATTACTTTTGGTTGAAGTTGCTCCGTTGGGACACGAACAGTGTGCGAACCTGCTATCGAGCTTGTACTGTTCCCTTCCCCCTCCCCCCTTTCATTCGCGAATTGAACAAATCTTGTCATCGAAACATTGCCGCACTCTGCACCTTGTAAGAAGTCTCTATCACTTACTGTGTCGCTCGCTCTCTACCTTGCCTCCCGCACATTCTGCGATACTATACAGATCTACTGATTATGCGAGATACATCAAAATTTAAAGCAGCAAAAAAATAACCAACAACAACATTTTCGGAGCCGAACACGAACCAGGGAGAAAAAAACACCACACTTCGCCACCGAAGTGAAGTAAACAACATTTTTTCGGCTGTTCGGCTGTGTATAGGTTTTGTGGCGCATTTTTTTGCGCTTATTTTTGCCTTGATTATTGCTTTAAGTTTCCAATTTTCATCGAAAATAACGATTTCGTCACTCTGCCGTTGGCTCGCACCGCGCGCGCTGCCATCTCATTTCATTCTATGGTTGGTGCTGGTTGCTTTTCGCCGGTCTCGCTCTCTGTGTCCCACTCCCGTCTCTGTTTTGGTCGTTTTTGTTTTCAATATGTGTTCTTTTTTTCTATTTTTTTGCTTGATCTCCTTGCCTATATTTACGTTCATACATATATGTGTGTGAATCGCCTTTTGTCTTACGGCTTCATCGTTTTACTATTCGAATCGCTGTTTTTGTTGTTTTTGTTGTTTTTACTGTTTTTGCTTGTCCATTTTGTGATTCTCTTCTCGGTGGTGGATGTTGTTGTTTTTCGTACATTTTTTTTATTATAATTCATGTGGTAATCATGGTATGATGTCATATTCAATCTTTTTTTTCCTTCTTCGTTGCCTTCACATATGGTTTTGGATTCACGATCGATTACGGCCTGTGTGTGTGTGTGTGTTTGTATTTGTAAGCAATGAGCTCATTCGCTTGGAGATCTAGCAGCTAAATCGGCTTCGATCGAACAAGACAGAGCGATACACAGTGATGCATGGCTAAAGAAGCAACAAAATACACACAATTTTGTTTGCTGTCGTCGTTGTTGTTGTTGCTTTGTTGTGGTTTTTTTTCTCTCCTGTAAATGACAACAAAATTCAACACGGCACACATATAGCACACAAACATAGCACACGGTCACAATGATTCTAGATACTTACTCACTCTCTATGCAATAAAATATATACAAGCCACCGCCGCCGCCGCCGCCGCTGATCTCTGCGACTCTGTATCTCTCTGACTGACTGAAATGAGACAGAGACCAGTAGAAGAAAAAAAAAACTGCGTTTTAGTAGCTGAAAAAACGTAAAAGTGGAAACAGTAAATAAAAATCCGGTGAGCCAATTATTAAGAAGAAACGACGAATTCTTTTGCGCACACAGTCACGACAAAAATTCGTTCAGGGCTGAAACAGTTCATTTGACAAAAAGCATTCATCTTGATTGCATCTTGGAAGTTTGATTTGGAATATTTTGTTCGTGGGACTACACCGTTAGAAACGTGACAACTAGGCCAGCCAGCACAAAGAGTGAGTAAATTTTTGTCGACAAACGGTCGTTTTTTTCTGTTTCTATTTTCTCTTTATGAGCGCATAAGTGTGTGTGTGTGTGCAACGGAAAAATTCTAAAAACGACTTTTCCGATGTGTGTATTCCGGAGAGTGCGGAGATAGAGTGGCAAAAGTCATTTAACGCACCGAAGTTGTTAGTGAAGAGAGTTGAGAGTTCCAACACACAAAAATACGCAATTTTATATTTATATTTTCTTTTTTGTTACGAAAATTGGGCTGGCTTCGGTTTGGTCGGGGACAAAACACATCCGATTTCAGTTTCACTCGCTGAACATTTCAAAACAGTAGTTCGTCTCGGTGTGATCAAGAAGGTTTTTCTATCTCTTTGGTGTGAGTGTGTGTATGTAATTTAACTTCCAAATTCGATTTCTTTTTTTTTCTTGATTCCCATTGCTTGACCGCGTGTAATCACAGCATTTGTTTTACAAAAGTGATTTTGATTTGGTTGTTTTTGTTTGAGTTTGAGCTACGTTTATTTAATTTTTTTTTGTCAAGGTGGAAGCGTAGTAATCAAGTAAAAAGCCAATGTCATCGCTACTACCACCACCACCGTCGCCGTTATCGTCGTCGTCGTCGTCGTCGTTCAATATGCCGTCATTCATTCGTTCCAAAAACAAAAATCGCAAAAATTCAATTTTAGTTTTGTGATGTCAATACGTATATGTGACAACCGTATTCGATTCGATTTACTAAACATTCGAGAGTATTGTTTTTGTTCTGTCGAAATTTCAAAAACGCGCTTCACACACAAACATTCCAATACAAAAGAAGGCGCGCTCGCGCTCACGCACACAACATATCACATTTCTTGCGCTCGCACACACCGTTCGTCCGACCGACTAACAACAACAAAAATTATGCACGCATATATTGTCAAAAGAATTTTAAAGTGTGTTGCGTCGTTCATTTGCGATGCGTGAAGCAGTCGGTTGGTTGGAAGAGAGTGTTTTTAGTCCGAGGAACTAGTGCGCGCGCGCGCTCAAATCTAATAAATGTATATTCATTAGATATTCATAGCATATTTTCGAGAAAGAAAAGAAGAGAAACAAATATACGCGCTGCTACGCGCTCAACTCAAGTGATCAATGACAGTCGACACACAGTCACATTTATCGCGTCAGAGCGAAAAATTCGGTCGTGTCAATATCTTAAGAGTGCTTTTTTTCTGACAAAAAAAAAGTTCAATCGTTAAAACCGTTCATCTGTTCATTTCCAGAGAAGCGTGAAGAAGCGTGAGGGCAAGAGCACATTTTATACTGATTCGTACATAATTTTTTTAAGATTCTGGAAGTTGAAAACACAGCGTTTGTAGAATACATACAGCAATATGGGTTCAATCATTGAATTTGACACAGGCTACCTCAACACTACAGCAGGCAAATATAAAATCAGTTGTTTGGTAAGTCAACAGGCAGTTTTTTGATTTTATTGATTTTGAAGCGTTTTTTTTTCTAACATTTCCTTGCTTCTGATATACAAGCAAATGTGAAAATATTCCAAAATTTTCGCTAGAAAAATTCATTTTTTCTTTCTATTCTCGCGATTGTTTCGTTTTTCCTCCTAATAGACACTCGGTGCAATTGGGCTAGTGGCTTGTAGTATTGCAAGAGTCGGCGGAAGACAGTATGGAAAACGTTTTTTTTTCTTTTCACATTGAGTTTTCATTGGCATCGTTATTATTATTTATTTATCATTATTTATTTTATACAAGGTATGTCTCATTGGCATCGTTCGCATTTCTGGTGACTGCCATTCTTTTGCTCATTCTCATCTGTAAAGCGAGCTTACGTCAATCGTCTCTGTGGCTGAAGGTTGAAGTGGTTGTATGCGTCATCCTAACAATTTGCTATATCGTTGCCAGTATTGACATATTCCGAGTTTGCTGGTACTATTTGTTCGATCGCTTTGATTTGGGACCATTTATTGGATCACTCATTGCAACCGTAAGTAGTTTCTTTTTTCTTTCGTGCATACCCTGTATAGAGAATCTCTACTAGAGATTGGCTTTGCGCATTTTTTTTTCACATTTTCTTCGTTTTTCGTTCTCTGGTCTGTCTCTTTCTATCTCGATTGTTCGCTATGCCATTGCTTTGCTCTATTCCGTATTCCAAGTTAGAATATCTAACCTAGCAAAATAGAACAGAGAGAATCGACCGCAAGCGAAAAAAAAACATACACACACACACACACACACAGTCCATCCATCTTTCCAGCTAAATCCAATTCCCTTTGAAAGCGAACGAGATCAAAAGAGACGAGAGACAACGACATGTGAGAACTATTTTAAAAATGCATCACATTTGCTAAAGCAATCAGTCACATATTTAATGCGTCTTTTTTTTCTTACGAAAAAAATGGTGTCGCTGTGACCCATCCCATGTCATGTTTTCAAGTTGCATATGCACCGAGTTGTTATTGCGGTGATTTTCAACAGCCATATATTGTTGCTAATGCCACTTAATGACACATTCCGTACGATTTAATTTATCAAATCGAATTTATTAATTCATGTAAAGGTCGAGTTTTGTTGTATCGAATGTATTTGTCGGGTTGAGTGGTGTTTTTTTATTGTTTCCATCACAGTTTATTTGAATAAATCCCCAAACAAGTATCAATTGATTAATTGAAAATGGATATAGATCATTGCAGTTGTGACATTTTTTTTCTCCTTCAATTTTTTTCAACATTAGATTTGCAGCATATTCGCAACCTTAACTTACGCAAGTGACACCGCATTAAAGTGCCGTGAATCGAGCGGCTCGGGCAGTACATCCAACGTTTAATTAATATACACGAAGAAACACCCTCCTAAACAGTCATTCGTTTTTCTTTATGCGTGTGTTGTTGTTTTCTTCTTCTTCTATTTGAGTAAATTTTCGTTATTCTCTTTTCAAAAACCAAAAAAAAAAAAACATTTAAATGAAAACGTACCGAAGAAAAACGTTTCGATCGATCCGCAATGTGCAAGTAATCAAGCCAAAAGAAACGCAAAAAAAAAATTAAGTAAGTTGAACAAGAAAAAAAACACACACACACACCTAAACCAAACAAGTGTTGTTGTGAAGAAGGGAAAGGGCGAACAAATGGCAACTTAAATTGAAATGAATACTCACCGGTGTTGCGTGTTAAAAGGAATAAATATGCAAATATCGTCACCGAACAATAGAATCCGTATAATTGTGTTTTTGTTAAATGCTTCTTTTTTTTAAGATGGAGCGCAAGTGAGCGAACGAGTGAGTGCGATGGAGTGTACCAGGGCCTACTACTGTTCTCTGGCCACTGTGTTACGCGCACACTCATCGCTTTCAACGCGAGAAACTCTTTGCGAACGAAATTTTATTAAGCAATTAATTAACGCTATATATACCTTTAATCGGTGTATATACTATACACCATCATTATGAATAGTCAACGAAATTTGCATAAAGTAGTAATATTGTGCAATAGCCATAGTCATACACACAAGTGCCTTCATCTTAAAATTTTTCTTTTTTCTCCTTTGTTTGTTTGTTTAAATGAACGAAGAGAAGAAGCAAACAATTTTCGTGCTATCGTCAACCGAAAGTCATTAAATTAGGTTCGAATCCAGATTGTTTTATTTGTTCGCCTACTTTATTTTTCTTCTTCTTCTTCTTCGTCTCTATTCTCTAATTCTATTATTGTAAATTCTTTTCTATTTCGGATCGTGTTTCTTTTTAAATAAATATTAAATATTCAATGTAAATCGTTCATAAATGGCAAAATCAATGTTCATGTGTTTTTTTTCTATTTTTTCTATTCATTATTTTGTTTTTGTATGTTTTATTTTCCCATTGTACGAAATTTGCAATAAATATTGAGATTATACGGAGTAATTGGTCGTTTTATTTCGCATTTTAACCAACTAAAATACAAAAAAAGATATACATCGAAGAGAACACTAGAAAGGGAGAGAAAAAAAAGAGAGAAGTAAACAACGCAATCGAATCGATCGCAAATGTTCAAGTGATTGAGAAATAGTATGCTCAGCGTGTCGTTGATTCGATTCTTCGTTGAGGTTTGACTCTTTTTGTTTTTTGCTGTTTCTTCGTTTTTGGATGCATGTATTTTGAGCAAATTTTCGGACGGACTATGCTTGCTATATAGCATAGCAAGGGGGCTAACAGTACCAGCAAAAACAATCGATCGATCGAGTGAATGACTACAAACGACGAGGCGACTGCAGTATGGCATCAAAAACAAGTTGCTGACATATAACTATTTTTAGGCACTGCACGATCATACGCAGTCAGCAGAGTTAACTCTCTCTCCCTCTCTTCTCTCGCTCTCCTTCTGGCTCTCACTCTCTTTTGCACTCTGCAATGTTTATGAGGCACGTAATATACACATTGTGTGTGAGTGAGTGTGTGTATCTTTCGCATGTGAAAGCGTCGGAAATCAACCGAAAATGTGTATGCACGAAGTCTTGCGCGACACAGCCCAAAAACAGTATACATGTATAGTGAAAATCTAAAAAAGAAACACATCGCGCTCGCGCGCGCACGTCTTGCAAGACGATGATGAAAATATACAGCGCAAATCCAAAAACGGAAAAAAAATGGAAAAAAAATTAAACAAAATGCAAAACAACACGCAGTCCGAGTGTTGCCAGTTCGCAAAAGTCATCGGGCGAACACAATAATCGAGCAAGAAATACACGAAAAAATACAAAGCAACTAACAAACATTGTCGAACAAAATCTATTGAAATCGATTAGTTGAGCAACACACACCGAGAGCGAACAAACGACGACGACGATAATGATGAAATTCAATGGATATGCACCGATTTCGGATAATATCATCGGCCGACGAGCGATTTTTGTTTTCTCTCTCTCTCT